AGTAAATTTAAGTGAGTTTAAGAAAAAGTTTGATAAGTATATGAATGATAAGAACTGCCTTTAAGATATTTTTTTAATTATTTTAATTTAGTTTAGAGGATGAAACAGCAGAGATGGATCAATAGATCCCATAACATTATTTTATGTTATACTAACCTGATATTTGAAAAACAACGTAGATAAGGTATTGTTATGTATCAGCTCGTTTGTTAATTTCCGGTATAAATTCTTTCCGATACAAGTCCTTTCTTAAATAAAATTAGTTTATTCCTTCTCGATACAACTTTGTAATACACAGAATTTCCAAAATCAATATGTTTGCAATCTTGATAACAAAACACACACTTTATATTAACATCACTACCTTGACTCTATCTATCTCTATATCTATCTATTTATGCCCATGTGCTGGTTTTTCTCGCCAGGCTTATATACTAACAGAGAGGGTGCCTCGAACAAACTCAGGGCCTCCCCGATAATTCATGATCCTTCCAGAAACTCCAGCACGCATGCTCCCAGTGTCACGCAACTTCCGCTGTCGTAATACTGCCCCTTCCTTAGTATTGTTCGTCCTGAACAATAGGCACTTTCATTAAACCAATAGATAATTAACAATAGCTTAATTAAATGTACAGAATTTATAAACACAAAATTAAAATACAACAAAGTCTCATAATTTTATCGGACGCATCTTCTTCCATACTGGTCTCCGTCTCATTGGCTTCTGCTTCCCGTGGGGTTCATCTGCTCCATCAGGAAATGTCCCATTATCGGTAGCAGTCACATCAGTGGTAGTAACTTCATTAACGGCTTCACTGTTTCCCTTCACAAAACCGGGTAGACTTTCTTCTTCAACAGTGGCTTTTTCAGGTGACACGACTTCAGCGACGTCATTTGTTCCGTTGTTCACTTTGTTCCAACTCAAATGGACTGTAATAACTCCAAAGCCTGTTGGCATGCACCATCTTTGATTTACCTCGCTGACCACATTTTATTCAGAAAGTCACATCTGAGAGACGATCCACTATGTCATATGGGCCTTCCCATGGAGATGAGAACTTAGGAGACTTCCCTTTGGTCTTCCTGGGATTATACAACCACACGTTGTCTCCTGGTACAAAGCTGACTTCAGTAGATCTCTTACCATAACATAACTTCATCGAATCAGCAGACGTTTTCAAGTTTGAACGCACTTGATGGTGAATATCATCCATCCTTTCAGATAACACTTTCATGAACTCTGACACATTTTCAGGCAACTCTTCGTAAGGTGGGCGTCCTGTTATCAGATCCATTGGCAACCGAAGTTCCCGACCAAACATCAGCTTTGCTGGAGTGCATCCAGTGGCTTCATGGTCTGCTGTTCTATAGACCATCAACAGTGGAGGGAGTAAGCCATCCCAGTCATCTTGGTGGCTATTACAAAACTTTGCTAATTCTTGTCCCAGTGTCCAATTGTACTTTTCTACCATCCCATCAAACTGTGGGTGAAGTGGCATTGTCCTGGTCTTTCATATGCCAAACAACTCGCAGCATTGATGATACAGCTGATTCAAAGTTACGGCCTTGATCTGAATGCAGTTCGTATGGCATACCAAACCTGAAGAAGAAATCACTAATAGCCAAAGCTACAGTTGTAGCTTCCTGATTTGGTATTGCAAATGCCTCAGGCCACT